GCCTCACTCAACATTTCATCTGGCCCTGGTAATTAAATTAATTGAATTTTAAGCCTGACAGATCACTCAGAACCTCCTCTCTGGTTATGCTAATTTATTTAATTGTCTCACAGACCTTTTTCCTGATTTCTATACCTATATCATCCCTCTCACTAGTGAACACCAACACAAAGTAATCAGTTAGGACCCTACCTACGTCCTTTGTATTTTGTTCACTGGTAGCGCTAGCTTGGCCAGCACTTATTGCCTGTCCCTAGTTACCCCTTGTGAAGGTGGAGCTGCCTTCTTGAACCGCTGCAGTCCACTTGCTGTAGGTAGATCCACAATGTCCCTGGGGGGAATTCTAAGATTTTGACCCAGCAGCACTGAAGAACTGGCATTTTTTTCCAAGTTAGGATGGTGAGTAGCTTGGAGAGGAACTTGCAAGTGGTGGTGTTCCCATGTATCTGCTGCCCTTGTCCTTCTAGATAGGCCGTGGGTTTGGAAGCTGCTGTCTGAGGGTCTTTGGTGAATTTCTATAGTGCATCAAGGGTGACACAGTGGCTCAGTGGTTAGCACTGCTGCCTTACAGCGCAAAAGACCCGGGTTCGATTCCACCCTCAGGCGACTGTCTGTGTTGAGTTTTCACATTCTTCCCGTGCCCGTGTGGGTTTCCTCTGGGTGCTCCAGATGCCTCCCAAAGTCCAAAGATGTGCAGGTTAGTTGGATTGGGCATGCTAAGTTGCCCATAGTGTTCAGGAATGAGTAGATTGAGTGGGTTATAGGGGGATGGGTCTGGGTGGGATGCACTGAGGGTTGGTGTGGACTTGTTGGGCCAAAGGGCCTGTTTCCACACTGTAGGGATTCTATGATTCTAGATGGTCCACTGCTGCTACTGAGCGTTGGTGGTGGAGGGAGTGGATGCTTGTGGATTTGGTGCCAATCAAGTGGCTGCTTTGACCTGGATGGTGTTGAGCTTCTGGAGCGTTGTTGGAGCTGCACTCATCCAGGCAAGTGGGGAGTATTCCATCACACTCCTGACTTGTGCCTTGTAGATGGTGGACAGACTTTGGGAAGTCAGGAGGTGAGTTACTGGCTGCAGGATTCCTATCTCTGACCTGCTCTTATAGCAACTGTATTTATATGGTGAGTCCAGTTGAGTTTCTGGTCAATGGTAACCTCCAGGATGTTGATAGTGGGGGACTCAGTGATGGTAACACAGTTGAATGTCAATGGGTGATGGTTAGATTGTCTCTTATTGGAAATGGTTATTGCTTAGCATTTGAGTGGTGTAAATGTTACTGGACCCTACTCTTTCCTTCATTAACTTTTTACCCTTAAAGTACCTGTAACACAATTTGTATTTCCCTTGATTTAACCTGCCAGTATCCTTTAGATCCACATTTAGAACTCCATCGCCTTTTTAAGTTCCCTATTGACTGTACTCCTGTAGGGCTTCTGCTGCTTTGAGTCATAGTTATCTGCCAAAAGCCTCTCCTTTTTCTCTTTATTCAATGCTGTCTGTCCCTCGATATCCAGCATTTACAGGAATTAATGGTCCTGCCCTTTTTCTTTATTGGAATTTGTTGGCTCTCTACTCTCCCTTGTTCCTTCTTCAATGTGTTCCACAGCTCTGACACAATTTACCTGAAAGTATCCGCTCCCAGTCCACTCTGGCTAAACCATATGTGATCTTATTAAAATCGGCCTTCCCTTAGTTTGGAACTTTGATTTCAGGCTCATCCTTGTTGTTTTCCAGGACATTCTTGAATCTAACGGTAATATGATGGCTGTCTGCAAAATAGCCCTCACGCTGATACATCGGGCCCTTGCCCAGGGCCTAGCAGAGCCTTCTGTGTACTGGATTAAAAGCTCTCCTGGATCCATTTGAAGAATTCTGCCCCTTCAAAACCTTTCACACTATGACTACCCGATTTAGTGTTGGGCATTTTGAAAATCTCCTACTATTAGCACCCTATTACTTTTACACTTCCCTGCAACTTACATCCATATCTGCTCTTCTATCGCTCTTGGATTGTTAAGGGGCCTATAGCACATTCCCAGCAATGTGATAGCTCTTTTTTGGTTTTTAAGTGCTACCCATGTGGCTTCATTTGAGGAGCCTTTAAGATGTCACCCATAATAGATTTCCGGATCAATATTGATCTCCTCATTCCTTGTCTCACCTGAAGATGCTATATCCTGGAATGTTGAGCTGCCTCTTCTGCCCCTGTCTCAACCATGTCTGAATATAGCAGTTTCGGCATACAGTGTGGTTTAATTTGTGTCCTCAACTTATCTGCCTTGTTTGTCAAACTCCTAGCATTAAAATAAATACTATCCATACCTTGCCAAGCTCCCCTGTGTCTTCCTCACTTGCTTTCTGTTTCTTCTAATTTTGACCATACATCTGTCTGCTTTACCTTCTCCCAGGATGCCAATACTCCATACACCCCCCAATGTTGGTTTAAGCCCTCCTCAACAGTTTCCATACAATAACTCCAGAAGTCTCTAATAAATGCTGAGACCCCATTACTTCCCTTTCCGTGTTGCAAAATAATCCAAAAATAATGTGTCTAGGTGATGCACAAAACTCATCCACTTTAAAGCTAAGTTTCAAAAACCACTTTTTTGAAGAAATCACCATGGCTACAGAGATGCAAACAAGTTCATTATTAACTTCAGATGCACAGAAATCCTTTGGTTGTTAACACACGAACCAGAAACCCAACTTGCAATAAATAATATCAAAACACATTTATTTACGTGCATGTAAGCATATACATTAACTCTAACTCTGTTTCTCTCTCCTCAGTCACTGCTGAGCTTTCCTAGGCCATTCAGTATTTATTTATGATTTCTAGCGTTATCTGTATTTCACCTTATTACTTAGTGCAGAGGTGTTCTGAACCACACTCTGAACTCTGTCCGTGGGGTTTTGAAATACTGCCCATTACTGCTGGATCACAGGAAACAATCTGCCGCTCTCTCATTTTCAAACAATTAAAGTATTTCGTATTCGCTGTGCTGCAGGTGCGGGGACTCTGGGAATGGGACCTACACTATTCCAAAGTCTGACTCCATCTGTCTTGGACAATGAAAAATAATGATTAGAAGAGCAAACTATCGAGCAATTTTGATTGAGCTCCAAGAATACCGAGCCCCGAGGGGACCACAGCAGGTGAGTTACTACCAGTGAACACTTAAAGGAACGTAAGGAACTTGGTGCTCAGACTAAGAGGCTTAATCTCAGTAAGTCACAAGACTTCAGGCGGGGGGTTAACGGGCCACCCTCTGGCCTCTTTCTAATAAGATGAAATTTGACATTGAATTAATGCCAAAGCGCTGGAAATGGCTGAAAGAGAAGGATGTAGTCACAGGACTGTGACCTCCCCAAAACACAAATGGAAACTCTCGCACACCTCCCCCCACCCCAGTGCAGAGACTGAAACGTCAGCTTTGTGTTTCCAGCAGAAAGACTTTCTTCATAGAATCCCTACAGTGTGGAAGCAGGCCCTTCGGCCCAACAAGTCCACACCGACCCTCAGTGCATCCCACCCAGACCCATCCCCCTATAACCCATCCTTGAACACTATGGGCAATTTAGCACGGCCAATCCACCTAACCTGCACATCTTTGGACTGTGGGAGGAAACCGGAGCACCCGGAGGAAACCCACGCAGACAAGGGGAGAATGTGCAAACTCCACACAGACAGACACCCGAGGCTGGAATCGAACCTGGGTCCCTGGTGCTGTGAGGCAGCAGTGCTAACCACTGTGCCACTGTGCCACTGTGCCGCCCCATTGGTCTTGGTTTAAATACTGGTGGCACATGTGCTTGTTTCTGACAATATTTAAAACATTAGCTCTTTGAAATGACTCCATTAAAGAGGATGCAGGTTTACATTGCAAATCAATTGTTGATCTCTATACTGGAGTTGAAAACATCATTTGAATTATTGTCTTTTTAAAGAATGTAACTCTTCAGTCATCCTGATCCATTGTGGCCTTGGCCCCTTTTTCCAAAATCTCTTGTGTTTAGTGAAGTCTTGCAGCAGTAGAACCCCACTTCTCCCCTTTCCACATCCCACCCTCTCCATCTTCTCCACTCCCCTCTTCTATTGCCTGGCCATTCAACCTCACCTCCCCACCACCCCCCCCCCACCCCTCCCCCAGACATGTCAATCTGATTGACCCTCAGGTAAAACATTCCCATTTGACTCCTAATCCATGTTGACTTGTCACATGGATTGCAATTGGAAATAGAATTGCCAGGACTGGATGAAGTTTTATTCATGACTAATACAGTGAAGTCACCTGGGAGGCCACCCTGTAAGCACTATAACTGAATGGGAGCCTTTACCTGAATGGGACCCTTTTATTGAAACCTGATTCACAATTCCTGGCATACTCTGATCCCATGTTCTGACCAATATGCATTTGGGGAGCAGAACTGATTCTCAATTGGAGAGTGATATTTTCACTGAACAGCTGCTGAATTAAAATCTGTGCATCAGAATCAAAAGGAACATCTCAAAGCAAAGTTGCCTGTGACTTTATAGAGGGAGTTTTGTTTAACTTTGAAACAATGATGTCTGTAAATATGCAACAGGCGTCTGAAACAGTTGGAGTTGTTTCTGAGTACCTGCTGACGGAAGATGGAAGAAGTGAGAAAGACGAAGTGTTGGAATCAGAAGGTGAAACAGTATGTGGACCCACCTGATGGAGGCTGGGGCTGGATGATAGTTCTCCATTTCTTCCTGGTAAGGAGTTGAGTTTCTGTCACTCATCTGTTTCTGAGTTTTGGGGTTATAGGGGCTTGGGGGTGAGAGTAAGAGAGTGAGCCTCACTTAACAGCTGTACCACTGAGCTGAATGGCCTCAGTTAGTGTTGCAATGCTTCGAGAATTCTGTCGCCCAGACCCTGTTCAGGAAAACCTCTAATAGACAACACTCCTACTCCCTGCGACTTGCACGAAAGTCTCCAGCTATGTATTAGCTAAAAACTTAGGGAGAGGCTCAACTTGGGTAATATTGGGCAGTTTAAGATGTCTAAATAATGGGCAACTATAACACTGACTCCCAACTGACCCTGTCTCTGTTATATCCTCCAGCTCCTAATCCCCTCCCTATCTCTGTACTTCTCAGATGCTTCCATATGTTAACATACATCTATATGTCTCATAATTCTAATTGCTGCACAACTGGTAGTTTTGCCTACATCTACTTGCCCTGAGTTCAAATATTCCCTCCCTAAACCTCTCCACCTCATTCCTCTTTTAAGCACGTCTTAACATCTTCCTTTCCGATCAAACCTTTTGGACCTGCCCTGATATGGCTTTATGTCTTGGTATTAAATTTTGTTTGCCAATTGCTCCTGTGAGAAAAAGCTTGGGATATTTTACTGTACTGAAGGTGCAATAGAAATGCAAGTTGTTGTTGAGTCAGAGAAGAAAAGCTGCACAAGCTGCAAACTGCAGGTCAATTAGTTCCTGAAAGAGAGGAGTGTGTGTCTGTGTGTCTGTGTGTCTGTGTGTCTGTGTGTCTGTGTGTC